CCGGGGCTGGCTTTGAACCATGATCCTCAGATCCCAGCCTCCTGAGTAGCTAGGACCACAGGCATGAGCCACCAGCGCCCGGCTTCTACAGGAAATCTTAACATAGGAGTGAAAACAGACAGGGTTTGACGAGTTTTATGAGCGTCTGTATTTTACAAGTCTTCTCCAGGGCCCTGCAGCCTTTGAAGGTATCCACATAACCTTCACCTTGACTGCAAGCCAAACGATACTATTAAAACAAAGTACAGATTTGGTGGTTGTTGTCAATACTGGGGCTTGAACTCAAGGCCTGGGCAACTGTCCTTTAGCTCTTTCAGCTAAGACCAGTTCTCTACTACTTAAGCCACAGCTTCACCTTTTAGCTAATTGGAGGTAATAATCTCACAGACTTTCCTACCCAGGCTGAATTTGAACCAAGATCCTCCAGATCTCATCCTGCTGAGTAGCTGGGATTACAGGTGTGAGCAACTAGTAGCCCCCAACAGTACCAAGGAATTTTTACCTGCTTTCTTCTTTTAGTTTCTTGGCTGCCTGGGTTGAAATCTTAATCTGCAAATCAAGTCTCTGCAGGAAATCTCTGGCTGACACTTCCTGGGGCTGCACGGGGAGAAGGTCAGGGCTGGGAGGAGGGAGCTGGACCCCAACCCCCTCAGGTGTCTCTTCAGGATTGTCTACAGTTTCATTTTCTGGAGAGTCAATGGTGTTCAGTCCATTAAACAACAAAGGCTTCTCAGCTACAACCGGGATGTTCAAAGTCTTCTTCAGAAATATACAATCATTGGTGAACAGTTTATTGGCCCTTTTAATCTGCTCCATCTAAAATGCATTAAAAAAAAAAAAAGGAAACACAGTTACACATTACCCAATCCAAGACTAGGGTCTATTACCACCCATCATTATTTCCCCTGTCAGCCATCTTATATTAGTGGCCTTAAATCACTTACTTAATAAATTCCTGTGGTGTTTTCCCCCCTGGTACTGGAGTGTGAATTGAATGCCTTCAAAATTTGCTGGGGGGGGGGGGTCTGGGAAGGTGGCTCAGTGGTAGAGCGCTTGCCTTGCATGCCTGAGGCCCTGGGTTCGATTCCCAGCACCACATAAGCAAAAAGAAAAAAGCCAGAAGTGGCACTGTGGCTCAAGTGGTAGAGCGCTAGCCTTGAGCTGAAGAGCTGAGGGACAGCGCCCAGGCCCAGAGTTCAGGCCCCACGACTGGACCCAAAAAAAAAAAATTTGCTAGACGGATGCTCTACCCTTTGAGTCCCTCCCAACCCCCCCTCCCTTTGTGTTTGGTTTAGTTATACTCCACACATGGTTGTCAGACCACAACCATCCATTCCCTACAACTTCCTGTGTAGCTAGGATTACCAGCAGGAACTATCATGCCCAATTTATTTATTGAGATGGAGATCCCAGTCACTTTTTGCTGGGCTGGCTTCAAATCACAGTTCTCACAATCCCTTCCTCCCAATAAATTGTCTCATCCTATTTTTTTTTTTAACATTTCTGTTATCTGAATTAAAGAAAAAAAAATTCCTGATTTTTTTTTTGAGAGGGGGGGTGCTGGCCCTAGGGCTTGAACTCTGGGCCTGGGCACTATCCCTGAGCTTCTTTTGCTCAATGCTAGCGCTCTACCACCTGAGCCACAGCGCCACTCCTGCTTTTTTTTTTTTTTTTTTTTTAATAATTTATTGGCAACAAGAGTCTTATGGACTTTCCTGCCTGGGCTGGCTTCAAACCACAATCCTCAAATCTCAGCCTCCCGAGTAGCCAGGATTACAGGCATGAGCTCCCAGTGCCAGGCTCTTCCAGATATTATTTTATTTGTGAAGGCTTCCTTTGTCTCCCTTTTACTTACCCAATGACTTAAAAGATAGGAAAGGTGGTAGAAGAGAATTTAGAAGGAAGGATGGTAGAGGCTGGGTGGGACTATAGACATTAAGAAAGGCCCCATGCTGGGTGTCAGCAGCTCACACCTGTAATCCTAGCTACTCAGGAGGCTGAGATGTGAGGATCGCAGTTCCAAGCCAATCCAGGCAGGAAAGTCCATAAGACTCTTAACTTCAATAAATTACCAAAAAACAAAGCCAGGAGTGGTGGTGGTGTTCAAATGATAGAGCATTAGCCATCGGTAAAAGAAGCTCAGAGACAACACCTAGGCCCTGACTTCAAGCCCCAGGACCAGCTCAAAAAAAATAGAGAAAAGGAGAAAGGCCACACACACACACACACACACACACACACACAAACACACACACAAACACACACACACACACACACACACACAGGTGGTGGGATTCTAATTGTGACTCAGCCTGTCAGCCTTCCTGAGTACTGGGATTACAAGTGAAAACTACTACACTCAGCTTCTGATTTTGAGTGTTTTGACTCTAAATGGACTTTGAAGAATCAGTAGCTATGGGACAGGGAAGGGATCAGGGTTGAGTTGACACAGTGATAAAGCATTTTCCTTCTCTTGTTCCTTCCCTCCTTCCCTTTCCAGGCAGGGTATCATTCTTTTGTCCTATAGACTGGGGATGCGAAGATCCAGTTTTACAAATACGAGAAACAGGAGTGCTAGCCTTGAACAAAAAAAAAAAGCTCAGGGACAGCACTCAAGTTCTAGGTTCAAGCCCATGACCACCACCACCA